TCAGAGCAGCTGGGGTGCTGCTGGGTTGGTCCAGTAGCGCCGCCAGCAGTGCGCTGACCAGCAGTGGCTGAATCAGGACGCCTGGGGCAGAACAGCTGGGGTGCTGCCCGGTTGGTCCAGTAGCGCCCAGAGCGGCGCTACGGGACCAACTGGCAGCGCCCCAGCTGCTGTACCACAGGTGTCTGGAGCAAAGCCACAGAGCACGGGGGCAGCGGGACAGCCCAGACGCGCCGTGGCTGTCCGCTGCCCACGTGTTCCGCCGCTTTGCTTCCTCTCCCTGGTCTGCTGGAGACCAGGGAGACGAACCCCGTTCGTAACTGCGGATCCGACATAAGTCGGATCCGCGTAACTCGGGGACTGCCTATATCTGAGAGAGTGAGTCTGTTTGGTTCAAGAACACCTCTTCAGTGGTAGAAGCTAGAATTACCAAATTTGGTTTGCAACTTCCTCTTATAACTTAAAGCAAGATCAGGGTTTGGTTGTTCCCAGAAATGGGATGTGTAGGAAATGGGATTGTTTCTCAAACAGAAAGAGAGCTGTGGTAACAAAGAGAGTTACACTGCACAGTGACCACAGGTGGTATCAAGCAAGAGTGCCCCTGCCTCCCCAACTGCCCTGAAGCTCTGTGCAGCAGCTGGCAGCTAGGCAGCACAGTTCCTGCTGCCCCAGGCTGGCCCTGCAGAGCATCCAGTGGCTGCCCCTTCCTCTGAGGCCCCTCACACCTCTCAGTCCCTGCCCTGACTCCTGCATTCCCCACATTCCCTGCCCTGAAGGACCTGAGCAATGTCAGTACATTTTCTAGTATTTCATAATAGAAGTGCAAGCTTGGTCTCTTGCTGTCTTAGGGAGGATATTGAATGCTGTAATGTCTCAAGAACTGTAAAGAGATCCTCTTTAGGCTCTGTTTATGCTACAGTGGTTCAACATAGATGCTTCCTATAACAATGGAAGAGGTTTTTTATAGCTGTATGTTATCTACCTCTCTGAACGGCAGTAGTAAGTAGGTTACTTGAGGAAATATTTTGTTAACCTAGCTGCAGCTAGAGTGAATTAGTGTCAACCTAAATTTTGCATCTTTCACAATCTGTTTTTCGTAGCCATAAGCAATGTAGCTAACTTGACTTAAGTGTTAGGTCTAAATATCAGGTCAAAGTTAGATAAATTGTGGTTTGCTGCAGGGAGCCAGGTCAGGAATAGGAAAGCAGATGTTTTATTTTTTGTCTTCCTTTTATCTTTTACATACCTGTTTGGCTTTGGTTACTAAAATCCTCCATCAGATTATCAGTGTTTTGCCTTCAAAAATAATCTCTGGAGGAGCAATATGCTCTTATCTATGTCACCAGACATATTTTGTGTGTGTGTGTGTGTGGTGGATTTTGGAAAGTATGTTTCATCTCTGATGATTGCTAGTTGTCGCCATAATTTTAGCACTATAACTAGATCTGTATACATCTAATTAAGAGAGGGGTGTGTGTGTTCACCTTGCCCAATTCCTTTTAACTGCTTACAAGTAGCATAGGAATCTAGAAGTGTTCTGACTTGGCTAGAGAACGTTAGAATTTGGCAGTAGCGAACTAGCATTGAAATACTGGTCGTGCAAGGCTTATGATAGATTTATATTGTTTGACTTTATATATGTAAATGTCCAGCGTAATCTTGTCTATTTCAGATGATAAAAAAGATATTGACCATGAAACAGTGGTGGAAGAACAGATTATTGGTGAGAACTCTCCACCTGATTACTCAGAGTACATGACAGGAAAGAAACTTCCTCCTGGAGGAATACCTGGCATTGATCTTTCAGACCCCAAGCAACTAGCTGAATTTGCTAGGTAAGTCACAAAAGAATATATGTTTTAAATCTAAAAAGAATTAGTCCTTTGTTTTCTTAAACCTTCAAAAATGTGAATACTAGCTGTCTAATTACTTTTGCCTGACTCCATGTGGCCTATATTACTTCACATAAGGAGCCTGTGAAACATTCAAAGGAACTTGTCATTAGAATATTCTCAGTATTTTGTTTTCATTAACCAAATGCTATAATCTTCTAAAATTTGATTTGTTTTAATTATGGCAGATTTCCACTCCCTGATCTTTAGTCTTTTGTAGGGCTTATAGAAATCAGATGTTCTCAAGTTGCATCTTCACGTGTGTCCTTACTATTGCTGTTTGAAACATTACATGAGGCTAGAAATGCATTTGAGTGAGAGAGTTACTTCTTGGTTAGGCTTGACAAATCAGATGTGGGATAGTCAAAAGTTCATCAGCACAGTAAGGAATAGGGATGTGAAAAGTTAACCTGTAATTGATGGGGGCTGGAGCAGCTCCCCAACCCAGATTCTGCTTTAGTCAGTTAATCAGTTAAGCATTATGTTAACCTAATGTTTAACTGATTAACCAAGATTTTACATCCATAGTAAGAACATCCAAATGTTCAGTGCTCTATCAAATTTAGTTTTTCAACGACTGGTTCTGTACAGTTTCTCAATCTGTTGATCCATATTTTCTTAGTAAGAGAAAATATCTTACTTTACCTATTTAAAAAAAAGTGTTTCCTGCAGGACCACAGTGACATCACCATATAACTCTGGATCCTGCAGCCCCTCTCCTTTGTGGTGGGTGGTAGTGGGACTCACGGGAAGGGGGGGAGGAGGACTGGGGTGCACACTGGCCCCCTGAACTGCTGCACAGTGGCTGGCTGAAGCTCTGTCAGTCACCAAGTGGCAGGAGGCAGCCAGTGTTTTAAAAACAGCTGCTTCATTGCATTGGTGGTGGAACCTATGTGTTGGGGGATGGGAGGGAAAGTACCAACCTGGCGAGGAGGGGCCTGGGGTCAGTGGGGAGGTGCCTGGGGGGCCGCCTCCACCTCCCCAATGGGCCAGGGAGAGTCCTGAAGTTGCTTATCTCTCATGAAAGGGGTTGGTGAGCGGAGTGAGCAGGGAGTGCAGCCCCCTAGTTTTTTATATCTTCTTTATAATATTGCAAAAAAACTTCAAAAGAATAAGGTTGCATAGTGAGCGCTAAAGTTCAGGAAATATAAGTATAGCCACAGCAGGGGTAGGTCCCAGAGCTGGCATGAGCCAGAACTGAGCCAGCCTTGCTCAGTCCTGGCTCATGCCAGGTCCAGCAGCTTTTAAGCTGGCTCCCCACAGCACCAGATCCTCCCCTCTTCCCACTGCTGCCTCTGATACAGTACCAGTACAATGGATAACTGCGTGGAAGAAGTCTAGCTGCAGTGACTGCAACTGAGCAAGGAAGAGGGATTCCAGCTCACTCAGCCACCGACCCCCAAAAGCTGAACCTGGGCAGGGTGCAGCCTGTTGCAGTCTTTTAGCTAAAGCAGCTCTTCATTGGGCAGCATTCTCCTGGAAGAGGCACAGGCCCCTGTCTCTTCTGGTCCTGCTCTTGTCCCACCTCTTATTCTCCTTGCCTGGCTGGCTGCTGAAGGAGCACTTGACTGCCGGTGGAGGTGGGGGGGCAGTTACCCCTTTTTGCCCCTCCCATGAGTCACCAATCATCTTCCTTCTATGTTTTTTAGGTGATAGCACAGTAGGACTGAGAACAGGATATAGTCTTCCTGTTGTTTGTGGTATCCAAGTGGCTCACCAGCAGGTAGAAAGAACTACTTCGGTAAACACATTTGTGTCTATGAATGGGCACGCTCAATCTAAGGGAAGCACATGTGCAGTTTAGCTTGCCTGTAGGAACTGTGTGGCACTAGAGTATGCTCAGTGCATGTTAAATCTGATTGTAAAGCTGCCAGCTTCTGGTAGCCTTTACTGAACATGTGCAAACTGCAGTATTTCTCCCCAAATTAGGCTAACATACAAGCCTTTGGGAAGACTTTCACAAGGATAGCAAGAAGACAGATTGCTGGTAACGTGATTGGAGCATGGGCTTGAAACATGGTAGTCAAAGTGTGGAGGCACTAGAACATCTCAATTAAATGGTGACACAAGTTTTTTAATGTTGGTAAAAATATATTTTTTGCTGTCCTGAATGCTAGGAAATGGTTAAACTGGGATTTTTTCCTTTAAAATTTCTAGTTAGTGGGCCTGCAGCAGACCTGAGAATTCCTCCTGTGTGCTTATAATATGTAGGTGTTGTAGTCCTACATTTTATCTATAACAAACTAATTTCAAAACAAGGTTCTATTACACGAAAAACATTTGCATTGATCTTAATTTGTCAGTATTATGTAGAGGTATTTTGTCAAAGCAATTTAGTTCTGTATATATCCTGTGTGTGTATATTGCTGTGGCTGCATCTCATTAGGCTAGTATCTAGTTAATTTGTTTTTAAAAATGAATGTAAATGTTTGGTTCTGGTGTGCTATTTATAACTGAGTGATTATCTTTGTTACAGAATGTATTTAATGCTCCTCTGGATATTTTAATGTGAATCATTCTTGAAAATACTAAATGTTATGCTATGGCTTGTCTTAATACTCAAACTGTTGTTGATAGTTGTTGCCAGGGTTGGAGTTTGAAGTTTTTTAGCTTTAACTATCACATGGGTTCTGTTGGGTCTTGTGCAGTACTTTTGTTTTTGTACCAAGGAGACATTTTTATAAAAAATATGATTTGCTTATTGTTTACTTTTTGCTGTCTTAGAATTTCTAGTGAGTAGCTCCATAAACCAACAGGAAAATTAAGTTTTGAGCACACAATTGTTCAGATTAGGGATGTAAAATCCTGTTTAAATGGTTAACCAGTTAAATGCCGCATTTAACCTATTAACTGATTAAAGGGAGGTGGGTGGTGGTGGGGGTGCTGTAGTCTGCCTGGAGCTGCCTCTGCCCTGCTGTGGACCAGGGAGCCGCTGCAGCCCCTGTAGGTTAACCAGATCCAGTAAGCCTCACTTATTAAGGGCAAAGCTTACCGGTTGACTATTCACAGCCCTAATTCAGATTTTCCTTGAAGTCATTTTTGTCTTTAAGGTTATTTCATCTGATCTTGCAGCCATTCCTGTGCTATTTGAATACCTTAGGAATGCTGTCATAATTCACAAACCTCAAAATTACGGGCCATTATGTGTTTATCACTGTCAGGCATAGTCTGCCAATATAATTGTGATGCATAGGAGCAATAGGATGGACAAAACCTTCCTAAAATAGTAAACGCTTGTAGAAATTGCTTTCAGTAAATCTCTTTTAACACCTTTGCTTTTCATAGAATCATAGAATACTAGAACTGGAAGGGATCTCGAGAGGTCATCGAGTCCAGTCCCCTGCCCTCATGGCAGGACCAAATACTGTCTGGACCATCCCTGATAGACATTTATCTAACCTACTCTTAAATATCTCCACAGGTAGAGATTCCACAACCTCCCTGGGCAATTTATTCCAGTGTCTGACTACCCTGACAGTTAGGAACTTTTTCCTAATGTCCGACCTAAACCTCCCTTGCTACAGTTTAAGCCCATTGCTTCTTGTTCTATCCTCAGAGGCCAAGATGAACAAGTTTTCTCCCTCCTCCTTATGATGCCCTTTTAGATACCTGAAAACTGCTATCATGTCCCCCCTCAATCTTCTCTTTTCTGAAAGAAATAAACCCAATTCCTTCAATCTTCCCTGACAGGTCATGTTCTCTAGACCTTTCATCATTCTCGTTGCTGTTTTCTGGACCCTCTCCAATTTCTCCACATCTTTCTTGAAATGCGGTGCCCAGAACTGGACACAATACTCCAACTGAGGCCTAACCAGCGCAGAGTAGAGCGGAAGAATGCCTTTTTGTGTCTTGCTCACAACACACCTGTTAATACATCCCAGAATCATGATTGCTTTCTTTGCAACAGCATCACACTGCTGACTCATATTCAACTTGTGGTCCACTGTAACCCCTAGATCCCTTTCTGCCATATTCCTTCCCAGACAGTCGCTTCCCATTCTGTATGTATGAAACTGATAATTCCTTTCTAAATGGAGCACTTTGCATTTGTCTTTATTAAACTTCATCCTATTACCTCAGACCATTTCTCCAGTTTGTCCAGGTCATTTTGAATTATGACCCTATCCTCCAGATTAGTCGCAACCCCTCCTAGCGTGTATCATCTGCAAACTTAATAAGCGTACTTTCTATACCAATACAGGCAGTCCCCGGGTTTCGTACAAGATAGGGACTGTAGGTTTGTTCTTAAGTTGAATCTGTATAAAAGTCGGAACTGGCGTCCAGA